GCTTGAGGCCTGGGTGGGGGGTGCAGCCATCAATCAGAGTGGTGTGAGGGTCCCCTGCTCAGGCCTGATACCTGGGACAGAGACATCAGGCCTGGGCGGGGGGCGGAGCCAGATATGGGAGGGAGATGGGCGTCCTCTGTCCAGGCCTTACACCTCTGGCTGAGGCATCAGGCCTCGGCAAGGGGCCAATCTGGCGATCAGAGGGTGATGGGGGTCCACGCCTCTGGCCAAGGCGTCAGGCCTGGGCAAGGGGCCGATCCTGCGATTGGAGGGTGATGGGGGTCAACGCCTGAGGGCTCCCAGTATGTGAGAGGGGGCAGGCTGGGCTGAGGGACACTCCCCCCATACACACACCAAGTGCACGAATTTCGTGCACTGGGCCCCTAGTCTTCAATAATGAAAAAGCCATCATCCAGACTTATCTACATTAGTGTGCTTTATGGCAATCTATTTGTCCAAAAAGTCCTAATCTTCTTATTTTATACTAGAGGCCTGGTGCCCAAAAATTTGGGCACTCAGGGGGGTGCCTCAGCCCGGCCTATGCCCTCTTGCAGTCTGGGACCCCTCAGGATATGTCCACCTGCTGGCTTAGGCCTGCTCCCCGGGGGATTGGGCCTATGCTGGCAGTCAGACATCCCTCTGGCAGCCCAGGAGCCTTTGGGGGATGTCCACTTGCCAGCGGGGAGCAGGCCTAAGCTGCAGTCGGACATCCTTAGCGCTGCTGAGGAGGTGGGAGAGGCTCCCGCCACTACCGCTGTACTGGCAGCCATCAGCCTGGCTTGTGGCTGAGCAGAGCTCCCCCTGTGGGAGCTCACTGACCACCAGGGGGCAGCTCCTGCCTTGAGCATCTGCCCCCTGGTGGTCAGTGTGTGTCATAGTGACCAGTCATTCCCAGTTGTTCTGCTGTTAGGGTCAATTTGCATATTACCCTTTTATTAAATAGGATGGTCCTCATACCACCAGAGTCCCCTCCCTCCCACAAATGCCCTTATGGTCCTGCTAAGAGCAGCCCTCCAAAGAGTTTTCTTTCCCAATCCTCCAAAGAGTTGCATTAGCAATGATTTTCTACACATATACACTTTTTAAAACACAGAGTGCTGCTAAGTACTGTTCAGCAATCCTCATGTTCACATCAGCCCTCAGACTGAAGGGTCCCAGGTTTGATTCTGGTCAAGGGCATGTACCATGGTTGCAGGTTTAATCCCTGGCTCTGGTCAGGGCATGTGCAGAAAGCAACCATCAATGTGTCTTTCTCACATCGATGTTGCGCTCTCTCTCTCTCTCTCTCTCTCTCTCTCTCTCTCTCTAATAATCAATGGGAAAATATCCTTGGGTGAGAATTAGCAAAAAACAGCAACAAGAAAAACTTTGCTAATTGTGACATCAATGAGTCACAGATTGAAGATTGAATATATATATATGCAAAGTGTCGCCTCAGGAATTCAACTGGGAGACCAGGAGCTCGATTACTCACTATGACGTGCACTGACCACCAGGGAGTGGCGTGGAACTAAGGAAGGCCCTGGCCGGCAGCAGGAGTCAGGGAAGGGAGGCCTGGCCGGCAGCTGGAAGGCTCCAATCAACCCTGATCATCAGCCAGGCCTAGGGACCCTACCCATGCATGAATTTCATGCACCAGGCCTCTAGTGAATAAATAAATAAATAAATAAAATTTATTTGTTTCCTAGGGCTACCAGAACATAGTACCACAAACTGGATGATTTAGAAAGACAGAAATGTACTATTTCACAGTTCTGGAGGCCAGAAGTCCAGCGTCAGCAGGGCCCTGCTCTCTCAGAAGGCCTGGGGAAGGTCTGTTCCAGGCCTCACTCCCAGCTCCTGGTAGCCTCGGGCATTTGCAGATAGCCATCTTCTCCCAGGGTTTCTTCATGTTATCTTCCCCTGTGCATGTCTTTCTCTGTGTCCAAATTGCCCCCTTTTATAATCACACTGGTCATACTGAATTAGGTTATCCTAATGATCTTATTTTAACTTGATTATCTCTATAAACACCCGATTTCCAAATAAGGTCACATTCTGAGGTACTGGGGGTTAGGACTCTAACATATTTTTGGGGACACAATTCAACCCATAACAATATCCAAGCAAGGAAAACACTCTATTTTATAGATCAGTGATGGCGAACCTTTTGAGCTCGGCGTGTCAGCATTTTGAAAAACCCTAACTTAACTCTGGTGCCGTATCACATGTAGATATTTTTTTGATATTTGCAACCATAGTAAAACAAAACTTATATTTTTGATATTTATTTTATATATTTAAATGCCACTTAACAAAGAAAAATCAACCAAAAAAATGAGTTCGTGTGTCACCTCTGACACGCGTGTCATAGGTTCGCCATCACTGTTATAGATGAACAAACTGCAGAGCAATGCTGGGCAGTATCAAATATGAAAGATTTCAGAGCCACTGCTAAGATATGTAGTGTCAACGCCAGCACAGAGACTGGGCAGGGCAAGGCAGTCTTGACTGGCATGGGACAGTTACCTAGCATTTTTCAAGTACATGTTGGCTTCTTCTCTCCTGGCCTGAGAAAATACAGGAAACAAATGGAATGGAACCAGATTTTTAAAGCTCCTTCTATGTTTGCAAGGAGCACCTCTGGAGGCTTTAGGCCCACACACCTGGAGCCTAGTTTGAGCTGAGCTCTCTGAGTGTGCAGCTCAGAAATAAATTCAAGAGAAAGTTTCCTTCCTAAATTCCCAGAACCACCTCTCAGGGGCCCTGAAGGTTTAAATTTCAGATTGGGACAAAATAAAGACCTTAACCTATTCACTATCCATAACCAGGATGAATGGATTATTAACTTGATCCTGACCTATGAAAGTACTTGGGTTTTTATCTCCACAATGAATAGGTTCTATTCAGAATCAGTAACACCTGTTTCATTTTTTTTTTAAATATATTTTTGATTTTTTACAGAGAGGGAGAGAGATAGTTAGAAACATCAATGAGAGAGAAACATCGATCAGCTGCCTCCTGCACACTCCCCACTGGGGATGTGCCCGCAACCCAGGTACATGCCCTTATAACCGGAATCGAACCTGGGACCTTTCAGTCCGCAGGCCAACGCTCTATCCACTGAGCCAAACCGGTTTCGGCACCTGTTTCATTTTTAATCAGTCATTTTTTCTCTGTCCTCTACTCGTCACTGGAGCCACTTCCTCCAAATGCCCCAAACCTTTGCACCCTTTCCTTCATCGTCTTCTTATATCCAAGAACCACCATCCAGGCAACCTAAAAACTTGCATTTGTTCGGCAAATGATTATTGACCTATGTGGGAACCTTAGGGATGCAAAAGGAAGTAAGACACTGTCCCTGCCTTTCAGGAATAGACACTAACAGAATGAGGGACAGAGAATCACCCCAGTGATGGCTTGAGATTCTCCTCCACCCCAAGCACAAACATTTCCCTTCTCCAGGTTTCTCTCACATGCTCTTTGGCACAAAAGAGTAAATTAGCACCAAAGTCTGAACTACAAAGGGTAGAGCCCTTACCTGATTGAAGAGAGAGGGTGAGTGAAGAGCAACAAAATGAATCTGGATTACATGCAACATTCCATTTAGAAGCTCCTAGGAGCACAGCCTGGTCTTTTTTCCCAGTTGGTTCCAACTTCCTGGGCCACATGCCCGGATGCTATGCCTTTCAGGAAGGAGTCTTGCCCCGTCTGGATATAGCCTGTCCTATACCTTATCTCAAACCCTTCTCTAGAGCGGAGGTCAGGTGGTAATGCAGAAATTAGAGGAGTTGTCAGTAGGATCCTGCAAGAACACTTTGAAAATCAAATACATAAAGTCACACACATAATTCTATACAGACAGCCTGAAGCAGTGAAGTCAGGAAAGAGTCTCAAGTTGAGCAGCTAGTTCCGAGTCAGAGGACTGAGCGCGCCACCTAGGAGTGAGAGCCCGCTGAGAGGCCTTCCCCACCAACCCCCATCAGCTCCAAAAGGATAAAAGGGAAAAGGCATCTTTATGCCACAGACCTCCGCTGGGCTACATCATTTAAAGATCTGAGGTTGAACCAGAGGTGGGTAGGGAGCAAGGCAAGAGGGAAGGTAAGGCTTGCTTTTCTTCCAATTACTATATTATCTCGAAGGTTCTGGAATTCTGAGATTCCTACCAGATTCTAGGCTATTGGCAATAATTTTCACATAAAAGTTTGTTCAAAGACCGATTAGCAGTAGGCACAGCCGGGTGACCCCAGAACTCCCCCCACAATACTTTCCCTTACGGTTTGTCCCAAGAGGAGCCAGGTGTGCTCTCAGGGATCAGGTGAATTCGGGCCTGCAATGCATCTCCAGGTAGCCCCTCACCCCCTCCTCTGGAATGCTCCAGACTGAAGGGTTCAATTTTGGTAAAGGGCACATGCCCGGGTTGCAGGCTCGATCCCTGAGAGGTGGCATGCAGGAGGCAGCCAATCAATGATTCTCTCATCACTGATGTTTCTATTTCTCTCTCCCTCTCCCTTCCTCCCTGAAATCAATAAAACTACATTTTTTTAAAAATGAGAAAGCTGGCACTGATCACTGATCATATGATTCTTAAGGGTAGGAAATAATAGGACTGGGTTAAAAGTAAGTGGAATTTTAGATCTGAGAAGGAACTTACAGATCGAATCCCAATCCTCAATTCACAGATGTGGAAACTTGAGGCCCATTTATTTACTCATTGAACAAATATTTATTGTGTGTCTACATGCTCAGTGCTGGAAATACAGTGAAGACATGGTCCAAAGAGGGAAAGTGGCTTGCCCAAAGCCACAAAGCAAGTTAGCAGGTCAATAGGGGCTCTTCGCACTAAACCCTATTTTCTAATAATATACAATCATTTCTGTACCTATAAGTACACTAAGCATTTGATGAAGGTTCTATGCAAAGATAAGATTTTCATATGCAAGTGATATAATAACATTCCGCAACATAAGGGATATATATATATACATATATATGTACATACATATATATGTATATATATAATATTCAGATGGTGTAAGAATCTATGTAAAATAACCACACATAGATTCTTCATTAACACTTGAAAATGGTAATTTCCTTGGAAGTGCTTTCTAATTTCATTGTCATAAGTCATTAGGGATTTCATATACAATTCTGACAATCTGATTTTTAAATTTTTTCAAGATAAATCTGGTCATATAATTATGACTCTTACTACTATATACTTTCTACTTTAAATTATAACTTTCACTTAACTAGTATTCTGGTATTTTATTTTCAATAAATTACCCTATTTAAAAGACCTAGTTCTCACATTAATCATTCATAAAATAACCAGTTTGGTTACTTTAGTGCTATAATACAAACAGAGATATGGTTCCTCCTTTATATAATGTAAATATCCTGAATTGGGACTTAATTCTTTAAAAGAAAACCTACGTACCTCATTTCAAAATGAACAATGGCACCTATTACAAAAGGGAAAATGAACGTTTGGAACCAATCTTTCCTGTTGTTTTTTGCTGATTTAATAACCTGAAAAAAAGCAATAGGGGAGGTCTTTAACACAGGAGAGGACAGGAGCCCTCTACTAGAAGCAATGTGATAGCCTCAGAGTTCCTCTTTAATTAAAACAACCCATAAGAAAAGGTGTGAAATTTTTGTAACTTATTTAAATAGTAAGTTTTTGAGATACCCCTGATTGGAAAATAGTAATTTATATTCCAACAACTCTTGAGAATCAGAGATGGAGAGATGTGGGAATTGAAAAGCGACCTGTGCTATACCACCAATATTACATGAAGTTCTAAGGGTGGTTTTCTATCCTCGGACTCCAGAAGGCTCTCCTACTGCTGCGTTTCCTTCCCCTGGCCATTCACTCCCTATTACTAGCTGCGCCTCTTCTCTTCGTGGTAAATCTGTTGAGGCAGGCACCTTGAATCAATCACAGCACAAAGTCAATACTCAATAATGAATACCACAGTTGGTAAGCAGAATTTAAAAATCGATAACATGTATTCTAATTCATATGTCCATACTCTGACACGAACTATAATAATAAAATCTGAAAGTACATCAGGAACGCATGGTTTTACTTCAATCATCAGGGTATGCTAAATGGCAGGACAGAACTGAGAATTTTGAAGGATCTGGCTAAAAGAACATGGTGTACGCTGTTCTAAAAATATCAACCACTTCTTTTTAAACAGGAAGGATCAACTTCAAGCCTCAGATAATGAAAGACAGAAGAAAACTTTCAGGAATAAAAGAAACATTAAGTGGAAAAAATGACAAGATAATTTTATCTCTGGGTTAAGACATTTTAATATACATAATGTATAGTACTTCATATAATTTATTAATGTCATTTACTATAGGGCACTGTAATTAATTCAGTGACATCAACATTGACCTCACACAAGGATAAAAGCTGGGTTTTCTTGTGTACCAAGTTCAAAACATGTACTGAAGAGTTATCACACACAACAGTTATAGGAGATCAACTTTAAGGATGACTCAAGTTTACAGTAGTAGCTTCACATGGTTTTCCCTCAAGACTTGAATGCCACCCAGTGTTGCCATGTTTGTGCAAATGCCAGCTCTGGACTACCCAACTACCTCCTTTTACCAGCCCCACTTTTGCCTGTTTTACTGCTGCTGCTGCTAGACTTGCCAGATGATTTTGAAGAGAAGAGTCTTGTCATGAACTCAGAAACATCAGGCAGTTCATGGTTGGAATTCAGCATATTCATCGACTGTTCCATCTCCTGCAGGAAGAGAAAGCATAATGGCATGAAAGGCAGAGGGATCCCTGGGGTCACTGAACAACTGACACTTCCATGAAGGAAGGAGAGGAGAACAAGTGAAAGGCACTGGTTCTAAGCAATGATGCACTGTCATATCCAAAAGCACTTCAGAAACCATGTTTCGTGCCTCCTCTATACCACTACTAGAGGCCCAATGCACAAAAATCCGTGCAAGAGTAGGCCTTCCTTCCCCACTGGATGCCGGCACCGGCGTCCATCAGGCACCTGGGACCCGGGCAGCTTCCCTCCAGCTGCTGGCAGGCACCCGGGACCCAGGCGACTTTGCTCCGGCAGTGGCTTCGTCTGCAATGACATCTGGTCTAATTAGCATGTTACCCTTTTATTATTATAGATGCATTTTGATCCTTAGTAAGTGTCCAATAAATGCTTCCCTAGGGTCTGACTCAGCTTATCCTTCCTATATAATAAAAGGCTAATATGCAAATAGACCAAATGGTAGAACAACCAAACAATCGAACAACCAGTCGCTATGACATGTGCAGACCACCAGGGGGCACGCACAGAACATGGTAGGCGTTGGCAGCACGTGGCAGAACACGTAACATGGTGGGCAACAGCCATGGCAGGATAGCTGAGCAGGTGAGTGGGGGCGCGAGACCAAGGTGGGGCGCCGGTCGCTGTCATCGGGGCAAGCCTCTGATGGTTACTGAAAATTCTTTGCTCCTGCACGCGGCGGTCCAACCCGGCGCTCGCACCCACTGCTGGCGCCTGGCACCGGTCCTGATCACTCGATGCCGTGAGCAGGTGCAAGTGGCAGCTGCCGGCACCGGGCGCCAGTCCCAATCCCTTGGCGCCGTCAGCGAGTGCAAGCAGCAGCTGCCAGCCCCAATTGCCCCTGAGGGCTTCTCCATCTCCCCCTGCTCCTTAGGGGCGATAGGGGCAGCAGCCACCGCTTGCACCCACTAACAGCGCCAGCCCCAATCGCTCCGCGCCCTCAGTGCAGCTGCCAGCCCCAATTGTGCCCCTGAGCTTCTCCATCTCCCCCTGCTCCTTAGGGGCGATAGGGGCAGCAGCCACCGCTTGCACCCACTAACAGCGCCAGCCCCAATCGCTCCGCGCCATCAGTGGGTGTGAGCGGAGCTGGCACCATCAGCGCATGGGAGTGGTGGCGGCAGGAGCAGGGCTGCTGGCAGACAGGGGACTAGGGCCACAGTGGGAGGAGCTGGGAGGAGGCGCAGAGGATGGGCCAAGATCTGCCCCTGTGCCCACTGCAGCCTCGCAGCCCACAGTTCCTTTCAAGGTGCACTAATTCGTGCACTGAGCCCCTAGTGTTTTTATAAAAGGCATTTCCTCTGATAATGGACATATGTAATCATATTCCTGCCACCTTATTTGTTTTCTGATTACAATGCTTTCTTATTGTTTTGACAAGTGTTTTTTAAACTCATGATTTCTTTAGATACATATAACCAGAACATCAATCTTTAATTATCTATCAAGGTATCAGCATAATTTGGAAGAGAACAGCAGTATTTCTAAGTCTTGATTCCTAAGGCCCTTAGTAATACATTTATGCCATATGACCTGGATGACCTCAACTATAACATCCAAAGCAAGCAACACAAATGCTACAAACAAGTTACTGGCAGGACAGGATAAGGGTCTGACATTTTTATTTTGAGGTTTGTCTTCCTCTTTATTAAGCCAAAACCCACAAAGTACTGTTCCACTTTTGCAATATTAATATAATGTCTGCTTCATTTGAATTTTATGTGACATTCCAAAAGTGAACTTAATACTGTATTAGTTCAGACATGAAAAAAATAGCAAATATTATATTACCTATCACTTAAAATGTAATACCTTTTGGGTATTAGCTTAGACTTTCTCCTCAAGAATTTATATACATAGGTTTTCAAGGAGAAAGTGCTTTTACAAATAAGGTCAGGAAAAGAAACATTATAAATATAAATCAAATATATTAATGTGTCCTAATAATCAAGAATTAAATGTATATGATAATAAGTCTTGAGTCCCCGCAAAAATATATCAACTCTATTTTTTAAAAATATGTTTTTATTGATTTCAAAGAGGAAGGGAGTGGGAAAGAGATGAAACATCGATGATAAGAGAGAATCACTGATTGGCTGCCTCCTGCACGCCCCACACTGGGGATCGAGCCCACAATCTGGGTATGTGCCCTTGACCGGAACTGAACCTGGGATCCTTCAGTCCGCAGGCCAATGCTCTATCCACTGAGCCAAACCAGCTAGGGCTCAACTCTATTTTTTAATGCATTCAATTCCGAAGCTCTTTTTGTTTTTATTCTGAGGTTACATTTATTAAAGCTGGGACAGTGAAACAAGGAATAGCTTAGGACAGAAGAAGCAACAGGAGAGCCCAGGCAGAGCTGCTTTGGCCCACTGAGAAGTCAGAAAAAAGGGGGCCTTGGAGACAGGTTCAGGGGATTAGCCCAGCATGAGCTGCCACTGACCATTGCTCCCCTGGTTGCAAGTCTCATGGGGACCCTTAGAGTCTCGACCAGGGGTGGGCAAACTTTTTGACTCGAGGGCCACAATGGGTTCTTAAACTGGACCGGAGGGCCGGAACAAAAGCATGGATGGAGTGTTTGTGTGAACTAATATCAATTCAAAGTAAACATCATTACATAAAAGGGTACAGTCTTTTTTTTTTAGTTTTATTCATTTCAAATGGGCCGGATCCGACCCGCGGGCCGTAGTTTGCCCACGGCTAGTCTAGAAGATGCATGCCTGAGAGAGAAGAGGGTGAAGGGAAAGGCACAGGCATGCTCCTGGGAGAGGGAGCACACCTGAAGCTCTTGAATGAACAACTTTTTATATTGCTCACATGTGCAAAGTACTTTGCAAGTAAATGAATTTTTAATCCCATGTGACTTCTAATGCTGCCTCTGTTGATGCCACAGAGAGTTAACTGGCTTAACAGATACAAGGATTGTATAGGATGTACACTTTCTGGCCAACACTGAAGCAGAGATGCCAAAATTTAGCAATACAATATTATAAAACATTATAAAGCTTTCTTTTTCCACGAAGCTTTTTCTGTCATTCCAGCTTGGAATACAATGCCTCACCTTCTACAGAACTTATCTCAGCAAACATTTTTATTTATTTAATGTTTATCTTAGCAAGAAGAATTTTTTTACAAATCCATTCTATTTCCTATACTACATTTAACTGGATTATGAACTTATTGATGACAGGGATGACATAATTCATTTGCATATTCTCCAGTACCAAGAACCTAAAATTGATTAGTAAATGTTTTTCAGCAATGAATAAGATGTCAACACATTAATACATTAATTATAATGGGAAAACTTGGAACTAAGAAGATATTTATTGATTGTTTTAAGTGGAAGAATGGACAATGATTTTTAAAAAACTGAAGATTTTATATGGAAGCCAATATAAAAGAGACAAAGCTGTGGCACTAAACTTGAAGCATCCTACGTGGCAACTCCTCTCCCCAGTCCAGTTTTGTGATACAAGGTCTGAAAGCCACTTTTCTATATTTCTCCCTTGGTCTATTCAAATTTCTTTCATGTGTCTGAACACATAAACTAAATGTGTATTCTAAAGAGTTTTGTAAAGTAAAAATAGAATATAGGAAGCTATCATTTTGTAAAATGTTTGGGTTAGGTGTACCAGGATTATAACATATTTCAACTCTATAACATGTGAGGCACAGGGTCTAATACTAAGTAGAATGTTTGAGCAATATGAAGATACGCCAGCCTTTATTAAGCATAAACAACTGAATTCATCTCGTGCAATGGTAATGACTATCTAAATGCCAGGAACGTAATACTGTATTAGGACAACCTCTAGATGAATTTGGCTTGGGAATTAGGATAAAGCTGAAAGATCCAAAACATCCAGCCACAACAGATGGACCAGGCATCAGAATATGGTTCAAAAAACCACAGCAATCATCTTACCCGTCTCATGTCAGGATCACTTGTGTTGACCACTTTGGGCAGAAGTACAAATATCAACAATGGAAGAACCATCATCATAACCTGTGAGGGGAAAAAAAAAATCAGAAAACATTACTTTCCACTTAACACAGTGGTTCTCAACCTTCCTAATGCCCCAACCCTTTAATACAGTTCCTCATGTTGTGGTAACCACCAACCATAAAATTACTTTTGTTGCTACTTCATAACTGTAACTTTGCTACTGTTATGAATCATAATGTAAATAACTGATATGCAGGATGTATTTTCATTGTTACAAATTGAACATAATTAAAGCATAGTGATTAATCACAAAAACAATATGTAATTATATGTGTTTTCTGATGGTCTTAGGCGATCCCCAAAGGGGTTGCGACCCACAGGTTGAGAACCTCTGACTTAACGGAAAAAAATCTGCACCAAATCAATGATAAAATTAAAGATTTAAATGTTGTATCTATATATATAAATATAGATATATATAAAACCCTAATATGCAAACAGACCAAACAGCGGAACAAGCGAACAACTGGTCACTATGACATGCGCTGACCACCAGGGGGCACATGCAGGACATGGCAGGCATCGGCCATGGTGGAGCAGGTGAGAAGGAGCGCCAGACCACGGCGGAGCGCCAGTTGCTGTCATTGGGGCAAGCCTCTGGTGTTTACTGAAAATTCTTTGCTCCCACGTGCTACAATCCCACCAGGTGCTCGCACCTGCTGGTGGCACCAACCCCACTTGCACCTGCTACCAGTGCCGCTGCTCACATCTGCTGCCAGCGCCCGGCACCAGCCCCGATCACTCGGCGCCATCAGAAGTGAGAGCAGCGGCTGCCGGTCCCAATCGCCCCTCAAGGCTTCTCCACCTTCCCCTGCTCCTGAGGGGCAATTGGGCAGCAGCCACCGCTCACAACCACTGATAGCGCAGGTGCCATCAGTGTATGGGAGTGGTGGCAGTGGCAGCGGGGCTGCCAGCAGACAGGGGACTGGGGGCCATGGTGGGAGGGGCCGGGTGGGGGGTGCGGAGAATGGGCCAAGACTCACCCCTGTGCCCACCGCAGCCTCACAGCCCACAGTTCGTTGCAAGGTGCATGAATTCATGCACTGGGCCCCTAGTATAGAATAAAACTAGTAGCAACCAACTCAATTCTCCTGAACCAGTTCTGTTGATAGCAAGGTACTCTTCAATGTCTGACTGTTGCAGAATATAAAAGCTTTATTTATACGTGTGTTTGGATTTTATAGACACCTTACTTTGAGTTTGTGCCGTCTACCATTTTGTAGTTTATAGCTTTAGTTAACACAAATAGTTTGCAAACAGAACTATCTGTTCACTCTCTTCAATCTGTAGTCAGGCACTGGGACTGGTGATCCTGATAGCCAGCTGGGCTGCTCTTTCCAGATGACTTTGTGGTTCTTGGAGAAAAAACTATAATGTACCTCTCATTAATGTACATCCTCTAGAGCAATATATGTCTAGGCAACTACTTTAGCAAATCAATTCAAAAGATGTCCTAGAAGCTTATAGCTTTGGATATGCTTCCATGAATTTCAGAAATCAGAATATAGCCCTGGCTGGGTAGCTCAGTTGGAGCATTGTCCCAGTACACCAAGGTTGTGAGTTCGGTCCCCAGTCAGGGCACATACTATAATCAACCAATGAAAACATCAATGAGTGGAACAACAGATCAATGTCTGTCTCTCTCTCAAATCAATAAAAAGAAAAAGAAAAAGAAAGAAAGAAACTGGAACATGTTTTTGTGATTAATCTCA